GCATTATTAGAAGTTTAGCCAATTTGTAGTCATGGCCTCCCCCTTGGGATTGCCCCAACTTAGTACCTTAAGGTTCATATTTGGCACATGTTGCCTCTCAAGGTTATTTTTTGTGAGTATAGAACCACATTGACGAGTTTTAACTAATACTTGTGGTTGGAATTTGGAATCAAGTATGTCCTCAGTTCTTAAAATACATATTTTCTCTACTATATTATTTGTATTTCAATGTGCAAGTTATCTATCGGATGTGCGCCTGTCAAGAATAAATTAATTGGTTCTCAGTTTACAGTTCAAAAAGTTGAGTGACTAGAACAATTTAGGCAAGGCCCAATTATTGGGGCAAGAACACAACTACTTTCTTGAAATTGTGAAGCCAAAAAAAAAAAGTGGGTATTCAAGTCATCAAATCCTGAACAGATTTGAGGTTGAATTTTCTTGTTTATTAATTTTTGTGTTGCCGAATCAATACTCTTGTCCTTAACCAACTCAAAAGTTTGACCCAATCAAGAAATCAGGCATGCATATTTAAATAATGGCTCTGACAAGAATCAAGGCAATATTCCCACATTCCCTCTACTTTTAGATGCAATTGGTTACAATAATCAGAAAAAAAAAAAAAAGACAATCTCAAAATGGATGCAGCGGGTATGAAAATGAAGACCTTGAGACCGGTGGGAAGTCTACTTGAAGTGTGCTGAATGTTCTCTTTTCTCACATATCCACTATATTTTCTTTATGTGGATTATTCTTCCAGTGTTCATACAAATCTAGGACAAATCATATTAAGGCTAACAAATCTAAGTAGTAAGTATCATGTGTATTATGATCTCCAAAGTGGGGGACATGGATCAATCATTTCAAAATGGTGATCCAAACATGACAATTGACAAATTAGGCCCAAAAAAGAAAAAATAAAATAAAATAAAATAAAAGCGATTTTTTGGAGGGTACATTTAAGTGGAGATTGAACTTGATACTTCATTGACCTGGAGACGACTTCATCCTATTGAGCTAAAGCTGATTGGTAAGTGAAAACTCATATAACGCTTTTGATGTTATATTAGTGGTCATCTTTACCTAGAGGTGACGATTTTCAATCAATTTCTTCCTTTACATGGAGGGAAAACTAGTATTGGATTCTCTAAATAAGTGTAGCGTGGGGAGACTTCAAGAATTAAACTTAGGATGCATTTGATAAAATTAAAATCTAAAATCTAAAATTTGAATCGGAAATATGAATTAGTTAAGTGGTTGAATTGTTAATTATTGGAATCTTAACATTTGAGTATATTTTGTATTAAATAATAAGTGAACAGTTTATTACTTATTTTTTGGAGTAAGTTTTGCTTAAATAATTAAGAGCCACTTGATAAATTAAAATGTTCTATTTTTGTTATCAAACATTTCTGAACATTCTAAGGTTTTGACACGTTAAATTTAAGCGGTGAATTGGATTTGATAAGACTTTAATTTGACATGCAATTTTATTCAACTTTATACTAATTCACCTTCATTTAGCAAAACAAAGTCAAGATTACTGCAAAATCCCGACTTAATTGAGCGAAGGAAGTCACCATTTTTGCCCATTATCGAGTTCGTAAGACAAGGACAAATCTGAAAAATCAGTCGAGTTAACTTTGAGATACATTAGCTTCCCCTTTTTGGGCTTTTCAAGTGGGGATGGAATGGCCCAGATAAACGGTTTTGTGATTTTATATTTTAAGCCCATGGAATAATTGCCGATTGACAAGTTTAAGTACATGATTTTGTTCAGTTCAACTGTCCATACAAATTAAAGACAAAAGCCCATTTGTGCAATCTATTAACCCCACAAAAATCGCCACTAAATAGGCTGCTTCGTTTTTGTATTGAAAAAAAAAATACACTTGATTTCGGAGCTGTTTTACTTGCTCTATGTTTTGCAAAATGTTGATTAATCAAAATCAGCTAAATTTACTTTTGTGTTGATCTTTTTCTTTGTTATTGAACAAATTTAAATCCTAAATACAAAAATTCAACAAGAACATCTAAAAAATTACTTTTCAAAATCAAAATCTAAAATTAGCTCAAATAATCAAATGAAAAGAATCCTTTTTTTTAGGATTAATCTTTCCTACACTGACAGTGTATACACTATCAGCGTTGAATGAATAACAACTATATAAAATTTGAATTTGAAATTCAACTTTTGCACACATGTTATGAATCCAACGATGATAATGTATATACCGTCAGTGTATGAAATATTTACTCTTTTTTTTTCTAATTGTACTTTTGTATCATTTGATCAGCGGTTGGAGTTCAAAGCTTAAAACACCATCTTCCATTCATCTAGCTACTCATTTGATCTACTCTTCATTCATTTAACAACTTATTATTGTAGATTTTTTAATAAGAGATTTATGCATTAGCTCAAATTAATTAAAGGACTATTTATCCAAAATATCTCTCTATCCAAAATGTGCTACTTGGATTTAAACATGTGATGTGTCACAATCCAAAAACCTTGATAACTCTCACTTGTCAACTTCTAAAACTCCTCTATTTGGACGTTTTCCTTCTCTTCAAATTATCAATCAACCTTGTCAACTGCCCCCTAATTACAAAAATTTTATTGCAGGAAAAAGCCCACAAACAATTTTTCGAGTAGAGAAAAATTCCGATTATATATATTTTTTTCATTTCTGTTATTCTAATTCAACATGGCACTAGAATGGATAGTGTTAGGCTATGTCGCAGCAGCAGAGGCTGTCATGCCTCGAATCTGATATGTGTTTAAAAATATTTAACTTTTAATTTAAAGCGTGGCACTAATTTACCCTCATGAGAGGATACAAAGTTGCCTAGCAAAAGTCTTCGAATACAAATCAATAATTATATAAATATATAAATCTTCAAATACGCTTACAAAAGTTTGAAATGTAAAAAATCACATGAATTCAAAAGGCGTAATTATACATGAATTCATCTTTACATGAATTATACATGAATCTTCAAGTACATTTTACTCTAAGTTCACAATTTATATACATAACCAGAGTACAAAAGGCGTAATTATATATGTTACATATACAATGCATAATTATACATGAATTCATCTTTGATTATTCTTTAATTATAATTCGTGGATCTTTTCATCTTTACACTTTGCCTTCAATTAAAGAATATGTTACGGTTACTTTATACAGGTGACAGGCCATACCCACAATTCAATCACTCGAAACGCCTAAAATTTCGAGTGCTTACTTAAGAAATTCAACAACGGCAGTATTCAATTGAATGGACATAGCTAAAGCTATATATGCCAAAAAATTGTAAAATTTGTGCTGCGACAAAGTAGACTTGAAGTGCTAACAATCATTAGAAGACACATCTCGAAGATTTGGATCATACACTAGTTTAAATTCAATAAAAAATTTGTACACTTTCCAGCTCCCATGCTGCGTAGTGTAGGTTAGGAATTTCAGCAAATGCAGTCCTTTATTTGGTAGCATAACTCAAGTTATATAAATCGAATCACTACAAAATTGGTAGCATTAGAAACTAAACTCAGAATACTAAATATCTTCAGAGGAATCATTTAGCGATTCCATCAATAGGGGGCCTTAAGTTGGACCATAATTTAGTGCAATTTTTAGTCCTTAACTATGCTGCTTCTGATTTTTTTTTTTTTACCAATTTTGCAAATTTTCTAGTATTAATAGGCAACAAACCGAAGATGAAATTTTATACCATTAGAAAGGTTTTTGAATTTAGTTTTAAACGCAATTGATGGAACTCAATTTTGACTTTTCTATACCAAGTGATGCCTAATTTTCCAAAGCTGCGCAGTGGTGACTGTTAGTAGCAAAACTGATTTAGAACGTACTCCCAGTGTTCTTGGTTATTAACACAAAATTCTTCCAATTTCTTGTATATATCCATATCACTTTGCACTTTGGCACTCAAATTTATATCAGACTTATAAAATAACCCCTTACTTATACATAATATTCAATTGGCTAGAAAACTTTTGGATGATTGGGGTTTGGGCATTACAGAGGCGGTGATGGTGTTGCTGCTGACTATTCTGAGCGCGGATCACCTTACATGGCCGTCTAACATCCATAACAAGGAGCCACCTAGAGTCATTTCTGACGATGGTCTCGTTTGTTCGTTCTTGCTGTTGGATATCTACTGAAAGTATGAAACTCGTCCGAGTTGTAAATCGCTCGAGCCGTGTACCTCGGCCGAACTCATGTGGCACCAGAAATCCATTATAAAGAGGCAGCGCAATGCATTGCTGATTGCCTCAGCGCTCATGTTCTACTGGCTACTTTTTGCTGCAACATGCTGATTTTTTTTTTTTTTTTTGTTATTTCCAATGTTAAAGGAATGTATGGAATGAGTTGTTCCCAAATCACCAACAATCCAGTGCAGAGCTTCGTCAGAGGAATTTCTCAAAATTGAGATATGTAACAAATGTTCCCACCATTTTCTAGCTTGAGGAAATAGTACATAATTAATTTTAACAACCTCCAACTATCCTCAACAATAATTACAAATATAAGATTCAATAATTACAACTGTGCTATTAATTTCTATTAAGTAGTAATTGTTGCACATAAAACTACTTTACCATCTGCATGCCATATGCTTGTTCTATATGTACAAATACATATGCTTATGCGTACCTCTACAGGGTGATATATATATATATATATATATGTCAAACATAAACACCAGGTAAAATGCTTGGCGTTTCATAACATATAACTGGGATCATGAACTTGTGGTCCTTATATCTCATTCCTTCCTTGAACATTAAGCATTTCGGTGGTGCACCAAGTCAGGACAAAAAATTCCTCAAATACATTTGCACCTCAGGGCTCTACCATGTATTGAGTGGAAAAACATAAGTACTACTTGAATGAATAATAATCCTTGGAATAAGCTTTTGATATACCATATGATTGAAGAAAAAAAGTTGCTATTGGATTATTGGTTTTATACCTGCTTCAAGGCATGATGTCTTTGATAAACTGGAGTTTGATCTTCTGCAGCGCTCTTAGAACTTCTTTCATGTTTATTCTCTCCTCAGGAGCATCTGTTGTACAACTTAAACCAAGTTGCAAGACAGATGATATGCAGTTAATCTTCTTTTGTACCAGTTCATTTTCAGGATGAAGTAAGTCTCTGTCTATAACTTGAATCACAGAATCTGGTAAGCAATCTTGTACCCAACGCCTGAGGCTTAACTCTTCTGTGAACATCTCATCCTTAGGCTTTCTTTTTGTAAATGTCTCCATCAATGTAATTCCAAAGCTGTAGACATCACAACTTGTTGAAACCAATCCTTCCAGTCCATACTCTAGCATCAAAATTTGAAACTCGTTGTTAAAGTCAAGTATTGGTAGTTCAACAAATTTATGTTTTTTCTTAAAGGTTTTATATTTGACATACCGTACTAGTTGTTGAAAGTTGAAACATTAATTTGAATGATATAAAAATTTCGAAATTTGAGTCAAGAAAAGTCACCTGGGGCAATATATCCAAATGTAGCAAGAGTCTTTGTTTGTACCACCGATTCTCCATCTCCTAACAACTTTGCAATTCCAAAATCGCAAACATGCCCAACCATGTCTTGATCTAGGAGAATATTGCTAGGTTTCAAATCACAATGAACTATAGGAGTTGAATAACCATAGTGGAGATATTCCAAACCAGAAGCCACATCTATCGTGATATCCAACCTTTGCATGATACTTAGGACATGATGGTTTACATGAAGCCATTTCTCAAGGCTTCCATTGGGCATGTATTCGAGCACCAAAGCCTTAAAGTCAAGGCTAGAGCAAGCAGTAATTACTCTAGTTAAATTTCGATGACGAAGGCAGCTTAAGACTTCACATTCTCTATCAAAGCTTTTAAATGCACCTTCTAGCTGCAAATCGAATACCTTTATGGCCCAAACCATCCCATTTTCGCGAATTCCCTTGTAAACTGAACCAAAGCTCCCCGAGCCAAGTAAGTTACTCTCGCTGAATCCATTTGTTATTTGTCTAAGTTCATGGAAGGATGCCCTTTCAAATGTCGCCATGGGAAGCAAGTTCTGAGTTGGAGCTAGAATTTTCTTTCTCAGCTTTAACCGCATCAAAAAAATTGAAATTACCAAGGCTAATATGACAGATCCTGATGCCAACAGAACAATCATGACTATCCTTTTTGTCCTTGATTCATGCTCAAATGTACTTGTACAAGGTTGGAGCCAAGGAGCGCCACACAATGCTTCATTTGAGAGAAAAGATAGGTTCGTGAAATTTGCGAATGGCCCTCCATGAGGAATCGGTCCTTTCAATCTGTTGTAAGACACATTAAAGTATTGGAGATCTGATAGTACCTGTAATGAGTTGGGAATTTCACCTTCCAGATTGTTAAAAGATAGATCCAAATGCCGTAACTGCAACATATTCTTCATGGAATCTGGTATCAATCCTTGTAGCTGTTGAATTTCAACAAATGTTGGCAGCCTCAATTCTTGAATTTAGAAGCCAACATTGTTGACTTCTCTTTGGCACAATTTAATCCCACATCGGTTTGGTTATTGGAAGAAACTTAGCTTGAGAGTTATAAATAGCTCTCAAGTCTTTCCAATTGAATGTACCAAGAACAACAAAGAATTACCCATAAGGATTTTGTAATTCTTTGTATTCTTTCTTCTCTCCTAAATTATAAAAGCAGGCTGCTTGAGTGGTGCTCGGAGAGTAGGCAAAATTGGCCGAACTCCGTTATCAATTTTCGGGTGCGTTCTTTCCATATCTCTTTTATTTGTTCCGCATTTATTTAGTAGTTTCTTTTCTGTAGTAATATAGTATTCAATATATTTGTCTATATTTGTCGGGTATATTTGTAGTGTTTTATACGATTCATTTGGGTGTATTTTTCTTATTCGTGTGTACGTATTATTTATGTATACACGGGTATAGTTGTGATAATACACCGTGCACGTAAGTTCTGTCTAGGAGACTGGGTTTTAAGTGGGACCGCTTGTGACCCCTCCAGCCTTTCCTGGGAATTTACTTGGAATGGTAATTCTGTCTAAGGAGATTGTTTCGACGATCTTTCCTGGGAATTACTGAATCGGTTTAATCACTAGTTGTAATTTTGAGTGGGAAAATACCCGGTTTCCCCAACAAGTGGTATCAGAGCCGAAGGTTCGTCCTTTGGCTTGTTTGTAATTTGTTATATTGAATACTATCATTTGAGTCTGTAATGGCATCTGACAATTCCACGTCAAGAATTGTATCTGGGGCATCGGCTTCCTCGTCCACATGGTCGAGAATTCCAATGTCAAGTTTAAAGGTGGCGGTGGAGACATTTGACGGTACTGGCCATTTCGGCATATGGCAAGGCGAAGTCATGGACTCCCTTTTCCAACAGGGTCTTGACATTGCCATTGAAGAAAAGAAACCAGATGACATAGAAGAGAAGGAGTGGAGTACCATAAATCGGTTGGCATGCGGAACTATTCGATCGTGTTTGTCCAAAGAGCAAAAATATACTTTCAAGAACGAGACTTCTGCATGGAAATTGTGGAGGGCATTGGAGGGGAAATTTCTGAAGAAGAGTGGTCAGAATAAACTCCTAATGAAGAAAAGATTGTTCCGTTTCGATTACCAACCAGGTACTACTATGAATGAACACATCACTATGTTTAATCAATTAGTAGCAGACCTGTTAAATTTAGATGTAAATTTTGAAGATGAAGATTTGGCTTTGATGTTGTTATCATCCCTTCCTGATGAATTTGAACATTTGGAAACTACGTTACTTCATGGGAAGGAAAATGTGTCTTTAGATGCTGTATGTTCTGCTTTGTATAGTCGTGAATTGAGAAAGCAGGATAAAATGAAAAAGAAAGTAGCTGCAGCAGATGAAGCGTTAGTGGCAAGAGGTCGTCAACAAAGCCAATCAAAGGGGAGAAGAGGAAGGTCCAAATCGAAAAGCAGAGTTGCCAAAGATGAGTGTGCTTTCTGTCGTGAGAAAGGGCACTGGAAAAAAGACTGTCCAAAGTTAAAGAAGAGAGGGAAAGCTCCGCAAGACGTAAATGTTGCAGAATGCAAAAGTGATGCGGAATCAGATTTCTCCTTGGCTGTATCACCTTTAACATCCCATCCAAATGAGTGGATTTTGGATTCAGCTTGTACCTACCATATGTCTCCCATACGAGATTGGTTCTTTGAATTTGAAGAACTTGATGGTGGAGTAGTGTACATGGGAAATGACAATCCATGTAAAACAGTTGGGATAGGTTCAATCAAGCTGCGTAATCATGATGGATCCACCAGAATCCTGAAGGATGTTCGGTTCGTGCCGAATTTGAAGAGGAATCTCATCTCCTTGGGACTCTTGGAGTCAAAAGGCCTGGAAGTGAAGATGCGAGATGGAATTCTTAAAGTAACTTCGGGAGCACTTGTGATGTTGAAAGGTGTGAGGAAGAATAACCTGTATTACTACCAAGGTAGTACAGTTTTTGGGACAGCAGCAGCAGCAACATCTTCCAGTAGCAAGAAAGATGCAGAGGCAACAAAGTTGTGGCACATGCGATTGGGACATGCTGGTGAAAAATCCTTGCAAAATCTTGCCAAACAAGGATTATTGAAAGGTACGAAAGTTTGCAAATTAAAATTTTGTGAGCATTGTGTTCTGGGAAAACAAAGAAAAGTGAAATTTGGCACTGGTATCCATAATACCGAGGGTATTTTGGATTATGTACACTCAGATGTGTGGGGACCTGCCAAGACTCCATCCCTTGGTGGCAGGTATTATTTTGTCACTTTTATTGATGATTTTTCCAGAAGAGTTTGGGTGTTTACTATGAAGAGCAAGGATGAGGTGCTAGAGATTTTCCTTAAATGGAAAGCTCAGGTTGAAAACCAGACGGGAAGAAAGATCAAGATTCTCCGAACAGACAACGGTGGAGAATACAAGAGTGATCCCTTCCAGAAGATATGCCAAGAATGTGGCATAGTTCGGCACTTCACAGTTAGAAAAACACCGCAGCAGAATGGGGTGTCAGAACGTATGAACAAGACACTAGTAGAGAAAGTACGTTGCATGCTGTCTAATGCTGGGTTAGGCAGAAAATTTTGGGCTGAGGCTGTGACATACGCTCAACATCTCGTCAATCGCTTGCCATCATCTGCAATCGGTGGCAAGACTCCATTAGAGGTATGGTCTGGAAAACTTGCAACAGATTATGATTCTTTGCGTATTTTTGGTTCTACTGCATATTATCATGTAAATGAATCAAAATTGGATCCACGTGCAAAGAAGTCTCTCTTTATGGACTTTAATGCTGGAGTTAAGGGATACCGGTTGTGGTGTCTAGAAGCAAAGAAAACCATTATCAGCAGGGATGTTACCTTTGATGAATCTGCCATGTTGAATAAGGTAACACAAGATGGAACCAGTGGTATTCCGCAACAGGTGGAGTGTACTCTGAAACAGGTGGAGTTTGAGCAGATAATGGTGAGCCCAACCAACAGCACCATTAGTGACTCTCCCATGGCAGAAGACGAGTCAGATGAGGAAGAGGTTTCAACCCAAGAACCTCAACAGCAGCAAGAGTCAATTGCCGTCAATAGGGCAAGACGAGAAATTCATAAACCTGCTCGTTTTGTTGACATGGTGGCCTATGCACTTCCAGTTATTGATGATGTTCCATCCACATTTTCTGAAGCAGTTCGAAGTACAGAAAATGATAGATGGAAAGATGCTATGGAAGAAGAGATGCAATCTCTTCAGAAGAACAATACGTGGAAGTTGACACAACTACCGAAGGGCAAGAAGGAAATTGGATGCAAATGGATATTTGCAAAGAAAGAAGGATTTCCTGACAAGATTGATGTTCGCTACAAGGCAAGATTGGTGGCTAAAGGCTACGCTCAGAAGGAGGGAGTTGATTATAATGAGGTATTTTCTCCAGTTGTTAAACATTCCTCTATTAGAATTTTGTTGGCCTTGGTAGCGCAGTTGAATTTGGAGCTAGCTCAACTTGATGTGAAGACTGCGTTCCTTCACGGTGACTTGAAGGAGGAAATCTATATGTCCCAACCAGATGGATTTAAAGTTGCTGGTAAAGAAAATTGGGTTTGTAAACTGAGTAAATCGTTGTACGGATTGAAACAATCACCGAGACAATGGTACAAACGATTTGACCAGTTCATGATGGGTCAGAAGTACACAAGAAGCAAATATGATTACTGTGTGTATTTGCGCAAGCTACGAGATGATTCCTACATCTATTTACTCTTGTACGTTGATGATATGCTGATAGCATCAAAGAGCCAAGTTGAAATTGACAAATTGAAGGCTCAGTTGAGTAAAGAGTTCGAGATGAAGGATTTGGGAGAAGCCAAGAAGATTCTCGGCATGGAGATAATCAGGGATAGAACGAGCGGCAAGCTTTGTCTGATACAGAAGCAGTATTTGAAGAAGGTACTACAACGTTTTGGCATGAATGAAGATTCAAAACCTGTAAGTACTCCGCTTGCTCCTCATTTGAAACTTAGTAGCCTATTATCTCCAAAGACGAATGAAGAGCGAGCATACATGGCAAAAGTCCCGTATGCTAATGCAGTTGGTAGCTTGATGTATGCAATGGTGTGTACGAGACCCGACATTTCACAGGCAGTTAGTGTGGTAAGCAGGTTTATGCATGATCCAGGCAAGGGTCATTGGCAAGCTGTGAAATGGATTCTACGGTATATCCAAAATACCGTAGATGTTGGATTAGTATTTGAGCAGGATAAATCACTTGGTCAATGTATAGTTGGATATTGTGATTCTGACTATGCAGGTGATTTGGATAAGCGACGTTCTACAACTGGCTACTTGTTCACATTTGCCAAGGCGCCAGTCAGTTGGAAGTCTACTTTGCAGTCAACGGTGGCTTTGTCAACAACGGAGGCAGAGTACATGGCGATTACAGAAGCTGTGAAGGAGGCAATTTGGCTTCAAGGATTGCTTGAAGACTTGGGAGTTGGTCAAAAACACATTGATGTGTTTTGTGACAGTCAGAGTGTTATTCACTTAGCAAAGAACCAGGTCTTGCACGCAAGAACGAAGCACATTGATGTTCGCTATCACTTTGTGCGGGAAATTCTCGAAGAAGAGGAGATTTTTCTTCAGAAGATTCGGACTACGGAAAATCCTGCAGATATGCTGACCAAAGTGGTTACAAGAGCCAAATTTGAACATTGTTTAAATTTGGTTAACATCCTGCATATTTGAGTTGGCGCCTGAGAGCACAAAATTTGGAAGCACCACAAGGACCGTTTGTTATTTTGGGTGAAAAGATTTGTATTTTTGGTGGGATTAGAAATTATGCCAATGTGGAGATTTGTTGAATTTCAACAAATGTTGGCAGCCTCAATTCTTGAATTTAGAAGCCAACATTGTTGACTTCTCTTTGGCACAATTTAATCCCACATCGGTTGGGTTATTGGAAGAAACTTAGCTTGAGAGTTATAAATAGTTCTCAAGTCTTTCCAATTGAGATGTACCAAGAACAACAAAGAATTACCCATAAGGATTTTGTAATTCTTTGTATTCTTTCTTCTCTCCTAAATTATAAAAGCAGGCTGCTTGAGTGGTGCTCGGAGAGTAGGCAAAATTGGCCGAACTCCGTTATCAATTTTCGGGTGCGTTCTTTCCATATCTCTTTTATTTGTTCCGCATTTATTTAGTAGTTTCTTTTCTGTAGTAATATAGTATTCAATATATTTGTCTATATTTGTCGGGTATATTTGTAGTGTTTTATACGATTCATTTGGGTGTATTTTTCTTATTCGTGTGTACGTATTATTTATGTATACACGGGTATAGTTGTGATAATACACCGTGCACGTAAGTTCTGTCTAGGAGACTGGGTTTTAAGTGGGACCGCTTGTGACCCCTCCAGTCTTTCCTGGGAATTTACTTGGAATGGTAATTCTGTCTAAGGAGATTGTTTCGACGATCTTTCCTGAGAATTACTGAATCGGTTTAATCACTAGTTGTAATTTTGAGTGGGAAAATACCCGGTTTCCCCAACAGTAGCTTGTTACGTTCCAAGGAGAGTTCTTGCAAATCTTGTAGTGCTCCGATAGTGCTGGGTATCCCACCCAAGTATTGATTATTTGAAAGGTTCAAATAGACTAATGCCTTCAAGTTTCCAATTTCAGCAGGCAAAGAACCTGTCAAATAATTTCCTGACATGTCTAGCTCCAAAATATATCTGAGGCTCCAAAAGCTTGTTGGCATCATAGAACTTAAATTGTTAGAATTAAGATAAACATATCTGAGTGTTGTAACGTTTCCTAAACAAGAAGGCATCATACCAGAAAGCTTATTTTGTCCAAGTCTTAATCCTTCTAAGTTCAGCAAATTACAAAACTCACTTGGAATAGCTCCTTGTATCTGATTGTCGCTTAGATCTATCCTCTGAAACTTCAACAACCATTTGATCGTAGTCGGAATTACACCCGTCAAACTATTGGTTGCAAAGCTCAGCCCTATCAAGTTGCTCAAATTACCAATCGAACTTGGAATTTCACTTATGATTCCACAACGAGCGGCATAAATGGATTCGAGTGAGCTAGAAAGATTTCCAATAGACTTTGGGAGGAAGCCGTTCAGAGGATTCTCATCTATCCACAACCTTGTTAAATGTTTGCAGTTTGACAGGGATATGATGAAGCTCAACTCTTTGGATAGCGGGGCCTCAGAAAAATAATTTCCTGATATACCCAAGTTTTCCAATAATCTCAAGTTTCCAAGAGAATGAGGAATTGCACCAGTAAAATGGTTACTTCCAAGGTCTAGCATTCTGAGCCTAGAAGCATTTGAGATAGACGTTAGTAGAGGTGGCAATATGGATAAATGGTTCATAATTGGTTTTGACTTAACGGATGGTGGATGAAATTTATCCAATCCATTTAAATCCATTTAATAAATGGATCTAAATGGATGGATCTAAATGGATTAAATAAAAACCAATTATCCATTTATAATCCATTTAAATATTTTCGTAACTTTTTTTTTTTGTCAGATCCTTCGGTATGAAATAGCCACTTTGGGCCTTGACTAATCCCGAGTTGAGCCAGGTTGCACCCCATAAGAGGCGCAAGCTCTCCCCATAAGAGTTGTTGTGCTTCTGGTAAAAATACATTTTTAGGTGCTAAAAGCAAAACGTTTGGTGAATATCATCCCATAAAATTTGGAGTAAAAATTTTTGTGTTAAAAACACTTTTAGCAAAAGGTTAAATTTGGTACTTTTATAGTAGCTTTTGTGATTTAAAAAATAAAACATTGAATTTAATCATTTTATCCTATATTATGAACTAAATAAAGAGATAAATATATTTAAAATTTTTTAAATTACATATTATCCAATACAATAAGTATTTATTGAACTATATCTCCAAATAATATATTTTAAAGCATTTAAATACTTAATAAGTATTTTATTAAAAACTCTATTAAAAAATTATTTTTTAATAAGTTATTGTAACTCGCAACAGGCCCTTAGTAGAAGGCAAAGAACATGTGATTATTAAGCAACTAAAGGGAAAAATCTACAAAAAGAAAAAGACGAAAATATACTGAAGGAAGTACAAGACAGTAACAAAAAAAATTCTTCTCAGATTTAACAAACTCATAGAGGCCAGTTGTTAATATTTTGACTGTGTTTCTAGCTCCACTTCTTGTGAACGTGATGATGTTCTCTAGTTTTGTGGACCCACAACGATGACGCTTTCCGGAAGGAAGAGAAGAAGTTATTTGTGAGTCCTGGGTCCGTCTTCCCATTGCATTCTATTTTGCTAAATGGATTTATATGGATCAAGTGGATAAACCATGTAAATCCATCAATTTAATTGGTTTTAAATGGTTATCCATTTAAAGTCATCACACTTTTTTTAGTCATCCAAATCCATTTAAACTTGGTTTATATGGATGGATAAATGGATTTGAATCCATTTTGCCACCTCTAGACGTTAGTATAGTTCCAGTGAATTCATTTTCCTCAAGGTAGAGTCCCTCAAGATTGGGTAAGAAAGCACCTATAGTTGATGGAAGCTCGCCTGATAAATCATTGTACGCGAGAGAAATAACTCGTACAGTTGAACTATTGAAAAGTTTCAACGGGATGGGACCTCTCAACCTATTCAACCCCAACATAAGTACTTCCAATTTGCTAAGATTACCAATCTCTTGAGGTATTATACCTGACAAATCAAATTGGTAAGAAAAAAATGTGAAGATTGTTTGTTGTCCTACTTTTAGAATAGACAATGAGAAGTTATATATTGTATTTACACCTATTAAAAAATATTCTTAATTGTATCTCTATATAGTTTAGTCAATATGAATATTTGATTTCAAGCATGTGTACATTAGTACGAATACCAATAGCATTACTAGATAAAGGGCACATTCAATTTACGTGCAATTTAAAAAAAATCACTTTTTATATGGAAGAAATTTGTATAAAATTTTAATAAACAAAAAAACTTTGATCTTTTAAAAGCTTTTTTAATACTATTTTAATGAATTTGGTAATTCTATTGTTTGTGGTTGGTTATTGGTGAAAGTTTGTTGTGCTATTGGTTGACAATACATAGACAACACGTTAATCAGATAATAAAAAGTATAATTAAGTGATTGTGATGATAATGTTGAAAATTTAAAAGTGACAAATATGATCTAATTAAATTTCCCCTATATGCACTCTGGTTATTATGTCATCAATTCTTTTGCATTAATTTGGTCTAATACCATTACAAATGCAGTTTTTAAAAATTTCTTTATGTTATACCTGCAAATATAATGAACAATCATGCAACAACGTCATATCATTTCTTCAACAAATATTCCATCTCAACTAATTAATTAACCATTGGTTTAATTGTCCTCTGTTTTAACCACTAACAAGTTACTTTTTCAATTCTCCAACTCCGCACATTCGGTTCTCTCAATCATCTCTGTGTTCACTCAATCTAGGCCCCACAACCATGTCACAACAGCACCTCGTTATTCTCAAATAAAAGTGGCAAATCAACCCAGTTAACTAAATTTACCCATACCCGCCCATGAATAGATGGGTATGAATATCTTAAATTTTTGTATATGGATATAAATGAGTTACCCAATAATACCCATTTAATAACCCATCAAATCCAATTAACCCATTTAGAATTCTCTTCCCCTAAAAAATTGGTAATTAGGCTTATTGAACAATATAAGTAAATATTTAAAACTAATGATGGATAGAAAGAGCGATATAAATTGATAACTTAGTTTGCAAAAATGAATTTAAATGAATTTATAAAAAATTAAAATAAATGGGTTATAAATATGTAATTGGGTTACCCAATTCATTTTTTGACTTACCCATTTATACCCATCTAATTAAATGGGTATAAATGAATTGACTCACTTATATCCATTACCCATTCTACCCAACCCAAACCCGCCCAAGTCACCCATTTTGACACCTCTATTCTCAAGTAACCAAAGCATGACAACACTTTTGTATCTCACAACAGCACCTCGTTACTCTCAAGTGAAGTAGCTAAATTTAATGAAAGAGGTAAGCATCTCAACAAATTCAGGGGTAAAGATAGGAACGCAAGTGGTATAATTCATTGACAATTTTGGAAATGACAAAACAATTTGAAACAAAGGTTTCCAACGAAATAACATGACATTGTCAAAAGTGGCATAGAATTCATTGATAATTTTGGAAATGACAAAATTTTTGAGACACTTGAGTGTGTTTGGATAGGAGATTATTTGAAATAATTACTATAATACTTTTTATGATATGATGTATGTGAGATAAAAAATGTTTTGAAAATTATATCTGTAATGCAAGTAAATAATTTGAAACCAAATCAACTCTAAGATGACATTGTCAAAAGTGGCATAGAATTATACACTTTCCTCTCTTCAAGCATTCACTCTTTCTATCTCTTTGTACCCCCTCTCTAAGTGCTTCCTCATCTTCCTATTTCCCATTGTATCATCTATTAGCCCCCTATCACTATCTCTATTTTTTAAGGGCAATCAATTGGAATTTGAAATTGAGATAGAGATGTAGGCTGTAGCATATTGAGATCAAGCTGATCAAAATCGTTTTGGCTTATGCAGTGCACTAGTATGACTGACCAATTGACGTATGAAAAAGAGTCCAATTTGATTTGTATTTGAACTCGCTTAACTTCTAATGATGGAATAATAAAATAGATCTCATGCCAAAATGTATCAAGATTTTTACCTGTCACATTAGCACTCCTTATGCCTAGTAGCTCCAAATTATAGAGATTGTCAATGACTTTTGGAATTTCACCTGCTCAAAAATCATGGCATCATGATAAATATAATTAACGGCATGGCATAATTATATGTATATAATATATATGCATTTCAGAATTCTAAGGATCTTCAGTTTAGTTTCAAACAATATCATGTAAATCTCTCATAAATAGTGGCAAAATGACGATTACATACACTCCCAAAAATTGGAGGTCATTTTGGTGGCAATCTATATGCGTATGTCAATGGATATTTAAATGTATGCATAAATTAGAAATAAAATTGATATAAAATCTAAATATGCATATCGAAATTAATACATTTTCCATTTTCTTTCATAGACTGTAAAGCCATGAAGTTTCAAATGTCCAAAAATTTTAAGGGGAAATTACTCAAAACCACCCATGTGGCTTGAAAATATACTTTTAACATCCTTATGCTTTGGATTCAAAGGCAAGAGAGATCTAATCCATCAAAGCCAATGGTTTTGTACAAAAAGACAACTCTGCCCCATTAACATACATGTTCGCCATGCTTTGATTATGTGATGTAAATTTTTCATGCAATTATGCTTCTAGTCTCAAAATCCTTTAAACCCAATGAAAATTTCTCGATGGGTAAAAAGGATTTTGAACCATTTTCATTGGGTTATGATGGATTTTCAGTCTTAATTTGTACTCTACACAATAAACTTACATAAATTAGTCTTGGATGACAATTGCCAGCTATAACTAATAATTACTTTATAATGTTGTTGCAAATTTTGATTGATTAAGGAAGAATTTTACTTTTTTTTGACAAAATAAAGATGAAAAAGTTGACAAACAAAAACATCGAAACATTGCAAACTAACAATTCAGTTTGAAATAAATAAAGATAACGTACAGAATCTGTGATCTATTGGTGCTTGAAGTTGGCAGCTTACCTGTCAGGTCATTCTCACCCAAATCTATTGCTGTAAGCGTGGTTAGATTCCAAACTCCATTTGGTATATATCCTCGGAATTTGTTGTAAGACAAGGATAAAAATTGGAGTCCTGAGCATTCTCCAATGCCTGATGGAATTTCACCTTCAAAGTAATTCCGTGATAAGTAAAGCTCTTGGAGTTGTGGGAGATAATCGCAGATACGTGCTGGAAGGTAACCCGATAAGCTATTACTCGTAAAACCAATCTTTTGCAATGAGGAGAGGTTAAACAGAGCCTGTGGCAGAGGGCCTGCAAGTTGGGTATATTCAATTTCCAAAACTCTGAATTTCGGTAGAGCGCTGAATTCTTCTGAAAGACTTCCCGTAAAGAAGTTAATACCCAACCTGATGGTCTCTAACTTTGTGAAATTAGAGAGCCTGCCTGATAATGAACCGGAAAATCTGTTGTATTCGAAGTTGATGTACCAGAGTGCACTCAAACATCCCAACCATGACGGAAGTTCTCCCTCAAAGGCATTACCTTCCAAGTTGATGTACTTCAATCGGCGCAGACGAGATAGCTCGGTTGGAAGATGTCCATGAAAGCTGTTATTTCTAACACTTAGCCAGACTAGGAAAGAAAGATTTCCCAATTGTGGAGGTATGGTTCCCGCAATTCCCATGTAAGAAAGGTTGATGGCTGCGACTCTTTGATGGCGAGTGTTACAAGTGATTCCAATCCAGTTGCAAACAGAGGAAGAAGTGGACCAGTTGGTTGGGATGATCCTTTGGGGATCGAAAATTGTGGATTTGAAGGCTAGAAGTGCATTCAGATCGATTGTGTTGTTTCGGTTGTTGGCAATACTTGCGCCAGCTGAGCTAGTTGTTATAAAGTGCAACAGTACCAAGGCTCCTGCGAAGAGAAAATAAGTTCTCTGCATTGCTTATAGAGGCAAATAAAACTTGAGGAATGCCAAACAAAAGGTAAATAAAACACGAGCATACAATGTGACATTGGGCAGGAGTTATATAGGCATATACTTGGGGTTGAGTTAAAATGTTTCCACGAGGAAGTGACAAGGTTTTGACAAATTGAAGATCTCACGGTATAAGTGGGTTAATCACGTTTATCTTTTGGTTAAATGACCAAATGAGCCCTTCGGTTGACCAAATTACATTTACCCCCATATGTGATTGTGCTCAAGCCCAACTCACGGAATCATATAAAGCGACAAATGCACTATTAGATTGGTCCTAATCATCAAAGTTTGGTTCGCGTACCAAATTGGTCCTAATATTTCAACTAAAACAAATTAGATTCTCAATGTTTCTGATTTTACCAATAGTAATAATCAAATTGCCATTAGTCATCAGTTTTGACTTTTCAATTTTGGTCTATAATAATTCGAATTTGGATCATTATAGTACCTCAAGTTATAAATACTAAAACTAAGAGTTTTAAAATGAAATGATTTGCAAATTAGATTGAAATTGTGTTAGATGTGTAGTAGGAATTCTGTAATAGAAAACATGCAAAAACTGATTAAACTTATTTTTCTTCTTTTTCTCTCACTTTTTATTTCATTTATTCATCCCGTTAGTTTGATACAGGCTTCTTATATTTTTCACAGCTGTTCTCAAATTTTGCATAATATTCAAATTTATTGTTTTACACCATGAATAATTAATGGCTAAAATGTTCTATTTATTTATTTTTTATTACTTGTATTAATAATTAAATAATTTAAAATAAAAGAAATATGTACCATAAATGACGAGTATTACAAGTGATTACGGTCCATTTAAAATGGGATTTTGGCACCTGAGTACTTTCTTAGTACCTTCTGCCCATTTTGTCTTAAAAGGAATTTAGCCCAAGCAACCAGCTAATAAGAAAACTTGGTTTAACTCGTACTGGGTATGCGTCAGCTTAGATCACTATCAATTGAAATGCAACAATTCTTGGATTAAATAATTAATTATAGGCCATCTAAGGTATTCCACTGAGATGATGCCAAAGTCTTTATTTTGGACGAAAGACTTCAACAATAATACTAAGGACTTGAAAACGTGGAATTTATAGTACATTGCATGACCTCAGTCTATTGTATGATAAGTGCGTTTAGGTTAATTAGACTACGCAAGAGCCAGTTTCAGTATATTTATTTTCTATTTCAGATTTAGAAGGTCATCGGTGGAGGATGAATCAAAGAAAAGTAAGTGTAACGAACCAATTTCATTTAACTCTAGAGTTAGGTAATGACATTTTTAGTATAATTCTTTTGTCACGTTCTTATAATGTGATGTACATGAGACAAAATAATGGTTGAAATGACAAAAAATTATTAAAAAATTTATTTGTGATGCAAGTAAAAAAGTTTTCATTTAATAATGAATGGAAATGTGCTTGTATGTGTATGCAGCGACTAGCGAGAAATAACCTACACCTAGTGATATCTATAGATATATCTTAAAGAGAAAAATCGACCAAAATAAATTTCTATTCATATATTAATTTGCTCAGATACTACATGCATTTCAACCCTTTACTTGCTAGATATTTTACCTGCCTACCTGGGAAGATTTATACCTCACGTTGGAGTTTGTGGTAAGCAGGTTCTTCTTACTAGATAGTGATGTATAGTTATGGAGAATTTTAAACACCTTTTCTTGTCATTTGAGTTTATTTACCCTAATCCAAGGGTGATACTAAAATCATCTAATATTGCCATCTTGACGAAGACCATAAGGGTCGAAGCCTATAATAATACTCGATTAAGATAAGATTGTTAATCAAATAATTGCAGCATCTCTAGTAATTCACTCACCATTGGAAGTTATGATGTCTCTTTTAAACTGGGGAAAGAATGATTAAATAAATCGAATAAGCAGATAGGACGTCAAGCAGCTTAACATCTTCTCTTTTACTTTTCTTCCATTGTTTGGAAGGAAAGCAGAGAAAGAGAAATGGATTTAACGCTTGAACCCTAAAGAATGGTGTATGTCCATTCACTGTTCAAAGAATTTACAATTGGTCTTCTTCACGATATCATCCTTCAGTGCAGAACCAGTAGTCTTGCTTCAGACTCAAGATGGTTATTGTAACGTCAAATGACTTTCACTCAAATGACTTGGGACAAATTGCTGTTTAGAATACTCCATAACTTTATTATTACTTGGAAAAAGACCCCATTGGTGACCAAGTCCAAATGCAAGGCATAAATTTCCCCCTGCAAGTAAAAGAAAGGGACCGAAATACAATTAATTCAAGACCAGATATTAATTATTATATACGAAGACTCTTTTCTAATCTTACTTTTTTTTTTGAGTTAAATTAACTCTTCTATACCTTTTTTGTTTTAATATTTTGCAGCTGATTGTTGTGTAAGGTAATTGGTATCACAAGCAAATCTATATTTGGCCATAATCGATGTTTGAATATCTGAATCTTCCACCAATGATAGAATGGAATATGGACGTTATTCCATGCGAAGATAAATATCTTTATAATTTGGGCAACTTCCATATGAAAATGGGTATGAGAGTGTGTGTGAGTCTATACATACATATATATATTTTGGTAGACCACTATGGAAATGAAAGTGTTAGATTTTCTTCTTCATCATTTCTTACCTATAGCTTGAATTTCAAATAAATTATCTCTTAAATAGAATGAATTTCATTCCACTCCTTAACCAGACCAGTAAGGGAAAATAACCAAGATGTATACTCATAATGAGCTCTGCAATTCCAATCTCAATTTTGATTCCAGAATTTGAATCAAACACTTCCTAAATGGTAAAAGAAGAGAAGACTGAAGACTTGTTCAAGTGTTTTAATTATCCTCTTAACTGTCTCACCTCGTGAGGGGCCTTTATTCGTGTAAGCGTCTATTATGTGGAAAGAAAAAAGTTGCACCAAAAAACTTCTCACCAGGTCCCAAGTCAAGAATTGAAGCGTTATTCATTTATTTCTGCTATTTCCTATCAAGAAAGACCACAAACTGAGAAGGGAAGCTATTAAAGTTTGTGTTTTCCAATTGACTAAAAGGCATTGGACCGTAATACTCTTGGATGAATCCAATCCGCGCCTAACCTATTAATGTGGTGGAGCATAGAATGATAGAAGATGATAGATTTCTGTTCATTGGTTAATGATCGGAATCGTAAATGGCTCCATGTTACTAGAATTTCCCCAACTGGACTTTAATTATCTTCTACCCCACAAATGCATGGAAAATCTAACATTCACTTTTGTGGATTCATCTAAAACAAAATTTGTGAGAACGTCTTCTTAGAAGTGAGTAGTCCTACAACATTGGTGTAACGGTAGATTCAAGACTTCAAATTGTACCCAATTAAGTATTGTACGTAAGAGAAATTTCTAATTTTGTGATGAATTTTAAAAAAATTCTACAAAAGCGGTGATTTTAGCAATGGATTCCATCCGGGGGTCTTCGCATTCGTGAAATGCGAGTTTAGAATAGAGCTCGCATTCTTTCACGAGTTTAGAATAGAGCTCGCATTCGCGGAATGCGAGCTCTACTTATTGAGCTCGCATGCCGCAAATGCGAGCTCTACTTATTGAGCTCGCATGCCGCAAATGCGAGCTCTAATTTAATTTTTTTTATTTTTTTTTGGGAGTTAGAGAATTTTTTCCAGAAAATAGTAAGAGCTAAACGCGAGCTCCTAAATGTTTTTTTATAAAATTTTGGAAATATTAAAAATTTTGTAAATAGCTCGCATTTGATAAATTTGACCTCCAAAAAATTGTATTTAACTTTTTTGTTAGATTTCGCATTTATAAGTATGACTTTCAGAAAATTAAATTCAAACTTGTTAGAAAAAAATTTTAAAATGAAATTTACGAGCTCCATAAAAAATATAATATAAAATTAAATGTAAATATTGTTTGTTTTGTAGAATTTGCCGTTACTAAAATGCTGTCGGTAGTAAAATCTTATTTTAAAATCTCTACTAAAATCTTATATTTCGGAGAAATGTTAGAGAAATTTTATTTAAAAATCTATAATTAGCAGAGGAATAATTTTTTTTTATTTTAAAACTTGCACGTGCCTAAAGTCATCAACTATGTGCTCTAAAAAAAATCATATTCACAATAATCTTTTTAATATAATTTACTATACATGCATATTTCTTTTATAATAAAAAAATTGGTAATTGTACGGTTGGAAATACGTTATTTTATTATAATACATTTAAATGGTGGAAAAAGTACACATGCATAGTTCTTTCTATTTCATAGATCAATGTAAAAATAGAATGAAATTGTTAACATGTAAGGTGTTTACTATTTTTTATGAGTAAAATATTAACTTTTTTTCCTTTTTTATCAAATAATTTTTTTTATCAAATTCTACTTTTCCTTTGTTATTAATGAATCGTATTTATTTGTTGACACCGATGAATATTAGTTATAAGAATCTAATAGTTAATAGTCATTAATATATGTTACAATTTCAACTGTAATTTTAGAAATTTCATAACGCAATGTTATTTAAAAAAATTATATAAGTTATTTTTATGAAGTGCATGTTATTTGTTTGGTAGTTGAAAAGGAAAAGAAAAAAAAATTAAATCAAAGATCTAGCGATTAAATCTTGCGTGTTTTACCTTTTACAATTATTGGCAGGATTACTAATTTGATTAAAAATATAAAGCGATAATCAAGACAAAGTTATTGTTTTGCAAAAATCCTAAAACCCTAAGAGCTAAAGCCATAAAACACTAAATCGTAAATCTTAGAAACCAAATCCTTGTAAATCCTAAAACATTAAATCAAGGTTGTTGGGTTTATTAAAATCCATTAAAAAATATTTTTGCGGCACAATAGGATTACTATTTTAATTAAAAATCTAAAGTCCTAATCAAGGCACACTATTGTCAAACTAAAATCCTACAACCATAAACCCGAATTTAGC